GCTGCTGCTGTCTGCATCACCCTTCTTGTTGTTTGTGAGTTCAGGAGGAAGTGTTGTTGTTGTGGTGGTGGTTGTATTTCCTGTAACATCTGTGATGTTTGTAGACTCATTCTGTGAACCAGTGTCATCACTCTCAGAAGTTGTTCCACCGGTATTCTCTGTAACTGAACTGCTGGAAGTGTCAGAAGAAGAAGAAGGTTGTGTAACGGTAGCTTCTTGTGCGTTTGTATTGCCCTGCGCAGCACTTGTGCCTTGTGTACCATTATTTATCTGGCTTCTCTGTTCGTTTCCAGGTGTTTGTTCATTATCCGTACCATTGGGGTTTTCTGAGTTACCAGGGCTTACTGTTGGTGGTTTACTGTCAGAGTGCCCTCTGCCCCCTTCTACAGCTCCTTGTCCACGGCTTACTTGTTCTTCCACACCTCGCGAACCTTCATCATCTTCTTCTTTCTTTTGTCCCTTCAGTGGAGATGGATTCTCTCTATTTTCTACAAGAGAACCACCCTGATCACCAGGCGAACCACTAGATGAACCTGTAGGCGTAGATGTAGTACCGTGACTAGGTATCTCTGAATTTGGATCTGGAGTAGATCTACTGTGATCATCTGATTGGTTTCCAATTAATGAACGTTCTTGAGACGACTCCAGCGGGGACTTTTGTTTGCAGGGTTTCCCCGTCCCTTTACCTTCAGCACCACATGTTTCCAGAGTTTCTTCTTCCGCATCTTCTGAATGAGGACCTTCATCTCGGGTCTGTAAAGAAGCACCGCCAACTCCAGTAGCCTCACCTCCTGTAGTAGCCAGCACACATCCGCAGACACAACAGAATGAGAGAACCAACACACAGAGCAGGTGGCGCATTGTCAGCAGAACAGTTGTTGTTATTATTATCTGGTGGCACTACTCCAAGCAATTAAAAGGAAGAGAGAAGAAACACTAACAAAGGAAATCATTCCTCCACATCAAGAAATATATATGTAAGCACATAGAAAACAAACATAAATCCATAACAATCACTCAGAAAGTGTTCAATTAAAGAAACAAAACACACAATACCCAATGCTAAACAGAAACTCTCAAAAAACACGGAAGAGAAATAATGATTTAATAAATTATACGTACGACCAAACAAGAGAAGAAAATACACCAAAATACAGCTCTTCATTCGTTGGTCAACATAGCAAAACATTTACTTCTGTGTAACAGTTATTATTATTTTCCTCTTCTGAACAAAACAGAATACCAAAACGGTGCAGGGCAAAAGCACAACGCCCCAACAAACCACACAAGCAAAAAACAAAGGTATTAACCATTAGCCCAACTTACCCAATAAACACAGAAATACATCTACTAAAGATATACGTCTATATGTGTATATA